TCTCACTCTGTCGCCAGGCTGGAGTGCAGTGGCACAATCTCGGCTCACTGCAACCTCTGCCTCCCAGGTTTAAGCAATTCTCCTGCCTCAGCCTCCTGAGTAGCTGGGACTACAGGCATGCGCCACCACGCCCAGCGAATTTTTGTATTTTTAGCAGAGACGGGGTTTCACCATGTTGGCCAGGATGGTCTTGATCTCTTGACGTCGTGATCCACCCACCTTGGCCTCCCAAAGTGCTGGGATTAGAGGCGTGAGCCACCACGCCTGGCCTACTTTACCTTTTAATTAGTTCCTTAACCCACTGCAATCAGTTTCCCTCTCCTATCATTGTCTTAAAGGTCACCCCTATATATGCCCATGTTCTCCTGAAATTATGTTCTCTTCACTTAGATTCTATGAAGTTGACAATATCTTTACCTCTCAAACAGTACTCTAAGTACTTTTATGTCTCTTTTTCTACCCCCTAGATGAAGATATACCATCCCATCCCCACCTATCAAGGTACTATCATCTACCTGCTTCCCTTCTGATTGTATTTCTTCCTTAATAATTTGATCCTCTTCTCAGCTCTGTTTTTCATCATTATGGGACCAACTCCCCAAAGTCTATACTCTTCAACATTGATACTCTAGAAAGAACTCTCGGGCTGGGCAAGGTGGCTCATGCCTGTAATCCCAGCACTTCGGTAGGCCAAGGCAGTTGGATCACGTGAGGTCAGGAGTCTGAGACCAGCCTGAACAACATGGTGAAACCCTGTCTCTACTAAAAAATACAAAATTAGCCAGTCATGGTGGCACACACCTATAATCCCAGCTACTCGGAAGGCTGAGGCAAGAGAATCGCCTGAACCCAGGGGGCAGAGATTGCAGTGAGCCGAGACTGTGCCATTGCAATCCAACAGGGGAATAACTCCATCTCAAGAAAAAAAGAACTCTCACTTCCAACTATATGTTGAATGTCCTGCCAGTACTTCAAGCTCACCATCTCATGTTCACTACCAAGTTCATTGCTTGATCCTCCTACTGGATCCAAAAAATCTATTTCACAGAAATAACCCAAGTACCTCATCTGCTCTTTCTACTCCTAACACTAAATTTACATAGTAAAATAGCTGCCAAATATCTACAGTAACGCCCTTAACCCAAATCTAAAAATTATACCAAGAACTGCCACAAGTCAGGCCCATGTTAAAATCTACAACAGAATTTCAAAATGTGTATCTCACACCTGTAGTTAAAAATAAAAAGCAGGCCAGGTGCGGTGGCTCATGCCTGTAATCCCAGTACTTTGGGAGGCCGAGGCAGGCGGATCACCTGAGGTTGGGAGTTTGAGATCAGTCTGGAGAAACCCTGTCTCTAGTAAAAATACAAAAAAAATTAGCCAGACATGGTGGTGCATGCCTGTAATCCCAGCTACTCAGGAAGCTGAGGCAGGAGAATCACTTGAACCTGGGAGGCGGAGGTTGCGGTGAGCCGAGATCGTGCCATTGCACTCCAGCCTGGGCAACAAGAGCAAAACTCCGTCTCAAAAAAAATAATAAAAATAAAAATAAAAAAACAGTGCTCACTTCAGCAGCACATATACTGAAGCTGGAAAGATAGAGAGAATATTAGCATGGCACCTGAATGAGGATGACATACAAATTCATGAAGAGTTCCACGTTACAACAACAACAAATAAAGTCCTTCCTTCAATTTTTGCTTAAAGAAGCCCCATAAAATTAGTGCAAAATAAGACTGCTAACATGAGGGCCATAGCCAAACAGAGACTAAGGCCAAGATGAACTATGACAGGGAAGGAGAGAGAGACTTTTACAGCAAAGGAAATGCAGAAGCTTTCTAGAGAAAAAAATGAGCTGAATGATCTAAGAGGCAGCAGACCAGCAGGTGGCAGGGTGGGGGGATGGGGAACAAAAGCAAAATTCAAGAGTGGTTTTGAAAATGGGCAACCCAAATGCCCATCGACGATAGACTGGATAGGGAAAATGTGGCACATATACACCATGGAATATTATGCAGCCATCAAAAACGATGAGTTTGGGTCCTTTG